TGGATATTGGCTGGGAATCTAGCTGTGTCTGCTCCACAGTGTGATGTAGAGTGCAAGTCACCCTACAAAATCAAGGTACCTGGAGAGAGAAAAGCAAAAAAAGAACCTTAAATCTGTGTTTAAAAGCCCTCTTGGTTGTCCAATGTCACACACTGATGGGAGTGGAGGCGGGAAGAATGTGTAACTTTTACAAAAGCATCCAAGCAACTGATCCTGCGGAAAAACACTGAGTCCCAGGTGACTTCACACAAATCATCCTGGCGGACTCACAGGTTCAACCAGAGTGTTTCCTCTGAGCTGTCACTGTCTCCCTTCCTCCCACTCACTCACTTCCCATAGGTAATTTAGATATGAACCTACAAACTCACTGGACTCCCCTATCATTCATTAGAAAAAGAAAAGCGTGTTCAAATTCCGGCTCCAACAAAACAAAATTCTCTACTATGTGTTGTTACGAGAAGCAACATCTTTAGAAAAAGATCATGATTGCAGGAACGTTATTTATGCAACTGCAGTCACACTATCAAGTTATATTAGGAAAGTAGGCGTAGAGTTTTAGCCTTGTTTCCACTTCCAAATAAATTCAATACACTTTCCTCATAAAAACCTTATGCAACTCTGTGGTAGCAAGAAGATATTTGTGTGAAGTATTATAGACGAAGAGAAGAGTGAGAAAAAGCCAGCAAAAGGATGTCTGTGAGCTAGATCCTAGGCACAGAAATACAAGATAATGTAGGTATATTTAGTGACATGGTAGTGACATGATACCATATTATAGTCACAGAATGGAGGAGTTAATAAACTTCCCAATGGGCCTACCTACTTCTTCCCAAGAACTGCCTTGCTTGCCTAAAGAATTTGGCCACTAACTTATGAATGACTGAAATAAGCGCCTTTAGTCTCTCCTTCACTGAGTAAAATTAAGTTTTTCCTTGTTAACAAAGGCAAACACACACACACCTGCACACCTGCTCCTTTAATCGTGCATCTGTTTTTATGTCAAATGCTTGATTTCCCTAAACTAGAGGTAAAAATACCTAGCCTTACTCTTGAGTTCATAGGGAATCCATAAAGTCCAAGGCCAGGCCCACATGTGATAATACTTGATCTTCTTCCTCCACAATTCATATTTGAGACATGAGCCTTTGCCACAGTGACTGCTATTCAATGCAATTAGAGCTTGTACAATTTCTTCAAGTCAATTGAGTTCAATTCCATTCAAGTGCACATTTTTAGGTGCACCACTGTACAGAAACCACTAAATGATCTTTCTATTTTAAACTCATTCCACTTGCCAACAAAAACAAGGATGTACGTGTCGGCCAGTCAAAATGTGAGTCACACCAAGTTCCAGGGAGACATACAACCAAAGTTCAGTCACAAACAGTGACAACACACCCACCTGAACCAGTGACTCCAAAGCCACATTTCAGAAATAGAAGCCCTTCAGCGGGTACAGACTGATACATGTTTCACTCAGACCCACCTCTCCTCCCAAAACTGCTTAACAAGTATGCAAATTTAAAACTCCTGAAAGGGCCCATTTTTTAAATCTAAAATCCAGTTTTTTGGTGTTCTAGATCCTTCAACGTGGAAAAAAAATATTGAAGTTAAAAAAAAAAAAACCTCCTCACTTGACTTTTTCAAATGTTATCAACTAATGCCAAACTGGCATCAATAATGACTATATTTACAATGAAGAGTGTACAAGAAATAGAACAGACTTCGTCTTTTGCAGGGTTCAGTTTAGCCTTTTTAAAATTCATTAGTTCCATTTAATAAAGCATCACTCTTTGTGGTGGTGATATATGTGACAAAGGCTGTAGGCTTTTTGACTATGGAAAAGATTTTGACACTCACTGCAATGAATTTGAGAAACAAATGACATAATATACTACAGGTGAAAGGAACTGCATAAGCACAGAGCAGTTTTTGGATAGTGTCAACTTTCAGACAGTTTAATGACTGATTTAATTATGAAATTATCAACCTTTAGTAGAAGGGAAATGCTGGCCGGCGACACACACTTTGTTCCCTTTATCCCCAAACAACACCCAGCCTCGCTAACCTTAACAGCTCTGAATCTCATACTTAAACCCTTCTGTTTGACCATGGATAAATAATGATGATGATGATAATTAATCACAACAATAATAATAAATCATGGCTTCCTGAAAAATTTCACAACTGGCTGCTCAACTGGGATTTATTTTTCTCAATTTCAGAACTAATGTCTTTCTAGGGAAATCTCTGGGAATAAAAAAGTCATCATTATACAGTATGATGTTGCCTACGTTTTCACCTTGAAGCAACATGTCTTTAATAAAGAATCAAAGCACAGACCCAAATGTGAATGTATATTCATTAATTCACTCATTCATTGTTTTGAAAAGGTAATTCAAATCAGGTCAGAAACATGTAATATCTTTGAAAAGACAGAATGATGAATGTGTTTTTTTAACAATTTGAAAAATGTGCTATTTGAAATATAGGTACTTTAAAAAATGGTAGATGAAAACCTCAAAACATTAATTTTAATGTAACAAATTGCTAACTAATTTAAATTAACTATAACAATTTCATGAAAATAAAAGACAGGTTTTAAAAAGAAATCAGCTAGTCAGTAACAGGAAAAAATGACCTTTTTCTGATTTATCTCACGCTGGTTCAATCAGTGACAAAAATACTACATAAACAGTAAACAAACTCTTCCCTCACTGAACTTGTTTCCAAAAAATGTCTATGATGCCCTTGAAATTAGGCAGTATTGATCTGGAACTACTGTGTGCCCTAATTTCAAGTCAACATTTATCCACAAAGGTCAGATTATCCTATTTTTTTTAAAAGCAGCTACCAGAACTATGACAGTAGCTGGTCAAAGCTAATTTAACCAAAACCTGAGCCTATCTTTCTCAATAACAAACATCTTTCAAGTTTTGTCCTTTCAAAGCCCCGTTTTTTACTGTACCACATCTGCCTCATAAACACAAACCAAGAAAAAAGAAATACTGGCTAAAACTAATAATGTAAACTTACTGTTATTACTCAAAAAACTGCTAATGAAATGTAAAGCTTTGGCATATTCAAGTCCCTAAGCCAGGACGAGTTTCTTGGAAAGAAAACATAAATCTGAATTTGGCACATCAGGATAACATCCTAAAAATACTCTTTACTTGACTGGGTTTTGCAGTTCTATCTCTGGGTATTACAAACTGCAGTTTGAACACTCCATCAGCCAAGGCTCCAGTGATTTCCAATCAGCCCACAGGAATTCCACATCACTACCTTCTCTTTCCTACTGGAAAACACAGTATGTTTTACATGCTTCCTATAGAACAGAAATAGAAAACACTTGTCCACCATTGTTTCAGAGCTATTAGGAAATTTCTGAGTCCAAAACACAAACCAACATGAAAATGTTTTGGCCTTTCCACTAATACACACCTTCCCTCTGCAAAAAGTCTGCTCCTTATCCACCCTGTGCTAATCCATTTCTTCAGGAACTGAGAACAATACAGACCCAGGTAGTTTTATAAACAAAATTCTTCTTTTCCAGCTCTGAAACTTCATTGTCAACTGGCTAGAAAGATAGAGAACCCCATCTGTGAAGTTCTGGAGCTCCACACTTCCTGACTTGGGTTCAGTAGATGTAGTGCTGTGGCTTCTTTCCTCATCTCCTGGAAATGCCCTTTTCGTCCAGGCGCCGGGGATGCGGCTTTTGACTCACAATGAAATCCACGCCCGTTTCCTCCCGACCTAGCAACAGAAGGATCCTCACTGTGAGGAACAGTGGTGAATGAAAAGGGAAACTTGACTCAGGAGCCTCAGCCCATACATTTTTTTCCTTCTCCAAAAGAAAGAGCCTTAAGCACTGATAAGTCAGCAAGGGCTCTGAATCCATTTGTGGAGTTAAGCTTTTTCCCCAGAAAATCAATCATACCATACAGTTAGTGACCCGGGCATACAAAATCTCCAGCCAGAAAAAAAAAAAAAAAAAAAGGTTTAAAACAGGAAAAAACAAAAATAAGAATTCTATATTTCTAGTTCTC